CACCCACACCCTTTATATGCACGTTTTAACTTCTGAACACCCACATCCCACATTCACCAACACCCTCACACCCACACCCCATCCACACTCACAACCATATCCCACACCCACGTCCGTGCAATGATTTTAGTTTTTTTGCAATAATCTATTTAATGGAATGAAAATGATGCAAAAACAATGAAAATACTGTTATTATTATGATTTTTCAGAAACATTAATATTATCTTATGCAAATCATGTAGAAAAAATGAAATTAATAATAGAATTTCTTTTTTTTTCAGTGTAAACAATTTAATACAATGAAAATGATATCAAAATAATGAATCTACCCAGATGAGTTCAATTTTCGTGAAATAATTGATGTAACGGAATTCTTTTGACGAAAAGTTTGAAAAAAAGTCATTCAAATGAATTTTTTTCATTTTTTTATTTTCTGAGTTCCTAAACAATATCCTAAACCCTTTGAAAGGGTATATGAAAGAGTTTAAGAATTTCCTAAACCCATTATTAAACCTTTAAAAATGATTCAGAAAAATTTTACATACGATAAAAAGGGTTTATTATACGTTGCACTTTCATCAACCCTTTTTGATTTTATTGCTCTATGAATTTTTTTACAGTGTGTAGTTGGGCTGAAATGTGAGTATGAGTGTGGATATGAATATCTTCAATCGTTTTAGTTACACTCCATCTCACGCAGCCACACTCACACGCACAGTCATCCCTCACCCCCACTCAAAAATATTTTCAGCAATGTTATAAAAAGGCACTGTTATCTTATCATTTATTGGACGAAATTCTTATCACTGATTAAAAGTTCATTCTTTCTGGAGAAAATCAATAGTCTAAGAGTAAAGAATACTGAATAGAAATACAAAAAATATATTTCATATATATGAATGCACAGATTAAAAGAAAAAAAAACACATTGCAATGTAAGTAAAATAAAATAGTGGGTGTGGAGGCAGAGCGGCGTGAGAATGGTAGAACGACATAGCGGCAGAGCGGCCAGGCAAACGGCATATATTTTTGAATGTTTCCTTTTTGCATAATCTTAGTCATGTCGAACAGAACTGAAATGAATTCAATTCAAAGCATATTTTAATTGTTCTTCATTGTCACTCTGCATCAATGCATCTTTTGCATAGTAACTTGTTGTTATGTGCAGTCGTTCTCCACTTATAACATGTAAGTGAAAGAAATATAAAAATGAAAAGAAAGAGGCAAAAGAAACGTCAACTAAAGAAACTGTGTTGACATGCTGTGAAGTTGAAACAACACGGTATTCGAAATAAGCACGTAAGCAGTGTCGCTTGTAGAAAAATTCAATATTAACAACAGTGTGTTATTGACGACATTGAGAAGCGTAGTGAGTCAATTTTTACAAAGCTTGCAAATCGAAACGAAATTATGTAGAAAGTTATACTGCTACTACCAAGATATTAGTAATATTGTAAATGACTGAAATTGACATGTCGAGATTAACGGTTTGGATTGACATAGTTTAATCCTTCGAATACTATGCATGCACATTTTTGTCCATATGAGTAAAAAATTACTATTTTTTGGCGAAAAATTCAACTAATCGATATAAAATTTTTAGAGTGTAAAATTTTTAAGCTCTTTCATCTGCCAAATACATCCTTTTCATCAATACTTCATTTTTTCTTGAAAAAAACGTTCTCTTCTACATGAAAAAAATTCATGTTATAGTATGATTCACCTATATATCTTTTCTTTCTGTCTTTTCATCTATTATATCGTATAGATGTCTACGACATCATACATGTAGATATGTTCTTTCTTTTCTTTCACCTTCGATATATTCCAACTGCTTTCTTCTTATTATTATGTTCTATGATTTTTCTCATGTGTTCATGATTATTTCCAAGTCCTTTCGAAACTTTCTGAGCTTGTTTACCAATATATAATGTATGTTTTTAAAAAAAGCGATCATTTTACTTGCAACCAATTAATTCGATTCTTGCGTTATTAGTTCGAAAATATTTTAATATTCACATTGTAAATAAAATTTATAAAATGACCGAATATTATGACATTATAAACATTCCGTCAGAAGAAGAATACTCTACCGAAGCAGAAGTTTTCGTTGAAGATATACTGAAAATGGTAGCAGTGAAGAAGATGATGATGATGATGACGAAGATGGAGATGAAGAGGATGGTGAAGAGGATCAAGTAACGGCTAAGATTGGAAGAATTTAGTACAAAAGACCCTCAAGAAATCAAAAGATGTATAGACAAAACATCATAAGAGATACATTTGGTGTTACACATTTTGTTAAAGTGAAAAATATAGAAGATTCATTTAAAAAACTTTCTACTGATGACGTATTGACAACAATAATTGAACATACAAACAAGCATATTGGAATAAATGATAAATTTATTGATGAACGCAAATTTTTAGCATTTATTGGGATTTTATATATGATGGGTACAAATCAAGATAATGGTTTATCTGTGCCAGATCTGTGGTCGGAAAGAAATAGAAGACTATTTTATAAATCCTCTCGTACTGTCACAAACCAAAAGAAATTCGTATTTTTATATCCAATCAACATCAAATAATTGGTGATTTTGAAGGAGAAAAGAAAAACTCCGAAATCAATATTTTCTATAATGATACTAAAGGTGGTGTTGATACAATTGATCAACTTGCACGATAGTATACAACAAAAAGAGATTCTTTCAGATGGCTAATATCTATTTTTTACACTTTGCTTGATATAATCAGTGTTAACGCCTTCATACTCTTTCTTGAATGTTTTTCTGTTTGGAAGAAAAAGAATCCAACCAGGAGAAGTCTTTTTCTTAGAGAACTAGCCCTTTTCTTGGTGAAACCTTATGTTTCACAAAGAAACACATCAAGTTTACATAAGGGTATTGTTTTGGGAATATACAGCATCCTGCACAAAAAGACATCATCATCAGATTCATTTTCATCATCATCGTTAATAACAACAATTAGAGCAGTAGCAACAACAACCCAATGAATGGTAGTGAATCGTGGTCGACGTTGGATTTGTTATGATGAAGCTATGGATTATGCAAGTCAACAAAAAAGCTAGTAGAATTGGCACCAAATGCTATAAATGCAGAATATATGTGTGTAAAGTGCATAGTTGTGTAAATCTTGTGTGTGATATGTGTGGCGAGAATCCTAATATGTCAGATTGATTAAAATATAAATAATAAAGTTGATTCGGGCTGAATTCTTTATGATTTAATTTATATGGACAAAGATGACCTTGCATGCTATTCCACGAAACTTTTTTCGCACGGTATTCGAAGGACTCCAAGAATTTCTTTGCTAGTGTGTGCCACGTCATCGATCGCATTCTTTTAGTATTTGTTAGTTACTACTGGGAGTATTAGTATCTTGTCAATTTATTTTAAATTTAAATCTCTTAAAATTTAGATTTTAGTTAATGTCAGTTTTGAACCAAAACTGACATTACAAGTATACAGAAACATAAGAGTGAATGTTTGAGAAAACCAGTCACTTAAAGACACCGACAATGGTGAAATATCTCAGAATTGTCTGGTTGTGGTAGAGGACAGTGAGATAAGTACTTCCGGAAATTTGCAGTCCTACTGTATGGATGTGGATGTGGGTGTGGATCTGCATGAGAATACTCATAACCGTACGCCAACACCCACACCCACACCCGAAGGTCATAAAAATGACAATGAGGACACCAGGTGGCAAGGTCTATACACAACCGCTGTCAAAAAGATATCCCGATAATAATAAAGAAGGAAAGCGTTTTTCATCACATAATAAACGGAGAAAAGATTTTTGAATTGGCAACGGAACATAACCCTCTAGAGCTGTATTCGACACATATAATAAATGATTTTTCCTTTTATTATCTGGAAAATGGGTATATTTGGTAGCTCAAAAATGGATAAAAGGATTTATTATACGTTTCAAACTCATAAATCTTGGCTTTTTACAGTGTATCCATAGACATGAGCTGAGACTAGAACTACTCCCATTTCGTCAGCGTCATTCACGTGTATAAGAGATCGATATTATTTTCATAGAGATATAACGAGAAATGATGTCATTAAACTTAAGATTTCTTTTTTTCTATATTTCTATGCCTAAGGATTCTTATGTCATGATATCACTGGCACTTGTCTTAAGCCACTTATTCTCACTGTTTTTAGTATAGTTATCATTGTTTCGATCATGTCTGCATCAGCAGGTGGTCACGAATGGAATCCTCGTTTGATTGAGGATACTTGCGACGAACCCGAGGCTTATCTACAACCACTTGATGGCTATCAAGAATCGGATCTTGTTTCACTAGAAGAAGCTATTGAACCAATCAAATCGCTCTTTCGTAATTTACCTCGCGACGCTTGGATCGCTAAGAATGCATTAAAGAATCCTGTCAATGGGCTTACACCTGACGAAGCAGCCGCTATTCATCTCTATACGATGGAAACAAGAACTCGTAGCTTGTACTTGATTCTGAATGAAATGCTTCGTGACCGAGATCGTCGAAAACTTCAGCCATGGTTTCTTTATCTTAAACTATTTATTACGGCCCTCTTCAAAATATCACCGTGCTCAGTCAAAGTGTTATGGCGTGGTGTCAAGTCTAGTCTACACTCGAAATATCACCGTGGTCAACGCTATATATGGTGGGCATTTTCTTCCTGTACTCTATCTTTGGAAGTATTAGAGCAACCTATGTATTTGGGGAAAACGGGCACAAGAACTCTCTTCAGCATTGAATGTATGAACGGAAAGGCTATTAAGCCATATTCATATTTCCAGAAAGAAGATGAAATTTTACTTTTGCCAGGATTTTATTTTGAAGTTGTGGGCAAAGTCAATGCTGGTAACGGTCTCCACATTATTCAAATACGAGAAGTTACTCCACCATATGTTCTTCTTGAGCACCCGTTCGTCGTAAGTTGATTATTCTGCCACACATATATTATATATATATATGTATTTATGGGTAGGGTTCGTCGACATCAATTGCAAAGCTAGGTAAAAGTTAATATCATAATTTGGTGTAAAATTTCATGAGTATAACGATAAATACGAGTGGAGGAATTGACGTGATGATGTAGTGATAAACTGGATGAGTCAAGTAATGTACAAACTTATACAGGAGACATATAAGTATGCCAAAGAACAGTAAAGAGATAGTCGTTTGGAAATAATATTTTGCCAGGGGAGTACCGCTATAATTTTAAATAAAGAGGATAATGAATTTTATACCAAATGAAAGCCCGTCAAAATGGGGTTTATTGATTCTAAACAATAAGGGTTATGAAAGTTTTCATATGCCAAAATGACTAAATTTAGGAAATTTCACTGATTATAAGTGTGAGAGAAGTTACTGTTGAGATAATGTTGAAACTAAATTTGATACAAAATTCTTTAATTTTCTATTGTTTGATGAGCACAATTGGTAATCAGTATGATGACCATTAACGTTCTTTACTGCAGGCAGTCAAGACGGATACGAACATGTAAGAGTTTCAAACAAATCAGTATCATTTTCCATATTTGTCAGAACATCAGAAATGTGCATCTTGAGTGTTTCTTTAAGATAAAAGGAATGTTCAATTTCTGCTAACATTTTTTTTCTCAACTTCATCCTTGATTATTCAAATATCATTACCCCAAAACTTGATGTCTTTGTCTCGAAGTAAATATTGGGTTTGACTTGCTCGCATACATGGTACTTTATCATGGACAAATATAACTTCATTGAAATTGATAACATTTTCTTCATTTTTTAAGAATGGAAATACGTTTTCCGTTAATATCGTATCACGAAAACATTGACCAGTCCAAGATTCACCTTTATCTTTGATTACCCAATGTAACTTCTTAGTAGTAAATATAAAGAAAATTCAAATGCATGCTTGATTTTTAACCATTTTACGATAACGTTGATCTTCTTCAATATCATCGATACTTGTTGCCCAAATTCGATCATTCTGATAATTTGGTTGATGAACAGTCCAGACAAAAAACCATCAGATGGTGCGAGATGCATAAAATCTTCTTTGGTTCAATCTTTTAACCAATCGCACATCTATAATCGATCCGATATATGAGTTTCCGTTTTTAACGATTTTGGAATAACATGAAACGGTTATAGAACTTCTTGATGACGATAGTTGTTGATTGTTCTTGAAACGACGTACTCTTTTTACTTTTCTGCAATTTTCTTCGCCACAACAGAACAACTTTTTCTTTGTTGACCACTCGCTTTAAGGACGATGTCTTGACTTGCTTGTGATAATTTAAGTTTAGGGCCAGCATTTGAATAGTTAGCAAAACATTGGTCATATTGTTTTTCTCCCTAGTCTTTAACAAATCGAACTGAGCGATGAATTTTTTCCAATGACCATTGTCAATTAATAGATGTTGCACCATCATCTCGAGCTTTACGAAAGCCGATACATTTAATTCTGTCAATAATTCTCTGCTCCTCAGTATCATAAGTGCCAGCCATTTTAAAATAATTAGATTTAAGTGATTCACCGAATGGATAAATTTTTTATGCAAGATATTCGTCAGAAACTGACTTTTTATATTATTTCATAAACTTCTTGAATTTTCCTATTCTATAACTTTCTAACAAAAGAAAAATCAAAATCTTTGTTATTCATCGCCACGACGGGGATCAGACGGAAGAACAGAAAAGGGAATCGTACCTTATGAATCATAGTTAGGTCTTATGATCACTATAACAATGCTCTTTTTAGTTTCTCCAAAGAAAATTTCTTTTTTTCTTTGCCTTGCAACTCTCTAAAAAAGAATTATATCGATTGCATTATGTAAAATTCTTTAAACTTCCAGAGTTTCAACATACGAAAGTTTTTATAACCCTTATTGTTTATGGAGTGCGTAGGATTGTAAAAGAAATTACAACAAAACAAGAAGAAGAAAATATTTGCAGAAAATAGTTGGAAATTACTACGTATTATTAGAAGGATCGTGCCTTTCCTTATGTAGGTCCGTAACGCATGCGTACCTAGACAACCGGCTAACCTAATAGGGAAGACAAAAAAGGAGATGAAAAATGATTGCAGAAGTCTGAGGAACATGTCGCACATTGAAATCAGAAGAACGGAAAACCCTGTGTGGAATATCAAGGAAATTTCCTTCACGTGAGACACACAAAAACGCTTGGTAAGATGCACATGTTCTTCTTTCCGAATGGAATATGTCTCAAAAAACTAAAGAGAACACTAGCCTGCTATGAAAGCTATTTCTCAATCTGTCACTAAATGACGATGCATATTCCTATTAGAGTGTTTGCACTATGTACTAGCACCTCTTCCTCGAAGAAAAACCTAATTGTTCAAGGGCTCTCCTTCGAATTCAACTCTGCCTAATTCCATTTATCTATATCTCTTAATTTCAGTGATTCCGTTACGCTCTACTCCAGTAAATATTCACCCAAATGCTCGATGGAAACAAAATGGTATCACTGTGGCTGGGGGAAACGGAGAAGGTTATGGGAACAATCAACTCTGTTACCCATGGGGTTTGTATGTCGATGATGATCAAACTGTCTATGTCACTGATACGTGCAACCATCGTATTATGAAATGGAGACTGGGTGAGACAAGTGGTCAAGTAGTTGCCGGTGGAAATAAACGAGGAAGAGGAATTCATCAGTTGTCTGACCCATTCGATGTGATTGTCGACAACGGCACTGATAGTCTCATAATCTGTGATGGTTCGAATCAAAGAGTCGTTCGATGGCCTCGTCGAAATGGTACAAGTGGAGAAACGATCATTTCCAATGTCCATTGTCGGAGTTTGACGATGGATGAGAATGGCTCTCTGTACGTCACTGCCGCAGGAGATGATAAAGTAAGACGATATCGAAGAGGAGAATTTCAAGAAACAGTAGTAGCAGGTGACAATGGAAGTGGAGATCGTCTTGATCAACTCTCTTCCACAGAATATGTATTTGTCGATCAACATCATTCAGTGTACGTTTCTGAATGGCAAAATGATCGTGTGATGAAATGGAAAGAAGGTGCAAAACAAGGCACTGTCGTGGCTGGTGGTCATGGACGAGGAAATAGTCTCGAACAACTGGCATGTCCTCGAGGAGTGGTTGTTGATCAATTGGGCACTGTCTACGTAGCTGATGCAGGGAATGCCCGAATCATGCGATGGTCCGAAGGAGCCACACAGGGAAATGTTATTATTGGTGGAAATGGAATAGGAAAACGATCAAATCAACTCCATGGACCCGTCGGTTTATCATTCGATCGATACGGTAATCTGTATGTCGTCGATAATGGCAACCACCGAGTACAAAAATTCAATCTGAAATACAACGGCTGATGATCAACTAATTGGCACACGCAACCGTGAAAAATAGTGCGCAACACAATAACAGTATCGAGAACTCCAAGTACCAATGAAAATAAAATAGTCAAACATACAATAAATTATTATAGTGTGTGGGTGTGACTGTTGGTGTCGAATGTGTGTTTGTGTGTGGTGTAGTTCAGAGATGGGCAAGTCAAGTCATTTTTTGACTTGAGAGTTTTTCTTTTGAATTCTTCACTTGACTCGACTTGATTTGTGACTTGACCTTCAAAGGCCAAGTCACAAGCCAAGTAAAAAAATAGACGTATTTTAGCAATTTATTCGTCTAATTCTTGTCTACACTAGAAGTACCTATAAGAGTAGAAACAAAGAAACAGTAATTCTTTCATGTATTTCAGATAAGCGACAGCCAGATGAGAATATGTAGTTATTTTTTGACTTGACTTGACTTAAGAAATTTTTTAAGCTCTTGGCTTGACTTGAATTGACTTGGAAAGTGCTGTGACTTGACTGGACTTGACTTGAATAGTTTTTTTGTGATTAATGACTTGACTTAACTTGAACCTTAGAAACATCTGACTCGCCCATCTCTGGTGTGGTTGAATGTGGACATGTATGAAGGGAATACCCGCATACATTCCCTCCCTTGGCTTCGCAACTTTCTCGATGTAGGCACTCTTAGAAGAGCCGAAGGTCAGAATATCAGGAGAATCCGTCAGGTAATCAATATACTATTCGGTAGCAAATTCCATTCATAGTAAAAGCACAACGTAACGATCAGCATTTTCTTTAAAATAGATACTTTATCGAGGATGTGAGTGTAGGTGTGGCGGATGTGGAGTATGGTAGCATGGGTACGGATGTGACTCTTCTCTAAACACTTACCTCCACTCACACCTACATTCATACCCACCGGCACTCAATACCCATACGCAGGCCAACAGCCACTCACACACAGCCAAGCAACAATCAAACCTCACTCTCAACCACATCCATCCATACCCACAGCCACACCCCACACCCTCACTATTGCTTTGATTTGATGTAAGAATAACTTTTTAAAAGCTACCATTGGAAACGATTTTGTTTTCTCACATCAGCCTAAGTTTCAAGTTTCGATGGTGAATGGCTGTATCAACACATGTACTTGAATTATCATCATCATTCAATACTTCTTGTTGCTTGCCGAACAGTTTTCTTTGATTTTCATCACGCCTTTCGTAGAGTACTAGTGATACACAAACCATTAAAATACAAGCACCAACGACTATCAATACAAGTAAATTCATAAGTTTATCTTGATGTGGTGCAACAAAAAGAAGAACAAGAGATGAAACATTGTTCCATTGATTGATAGCTAGTGCTGAGATTGCTTCAGGTAGTGGAAACATAGTTTCAGCAAGAGCTTCATAGATCAATGGCGTTGATGCTCCTTGAAAAAAGCCAGCAAGCGCAGTTGACAGTCCAATGGAGATAGGAGTGGATGAAAGAATAGGTTTCTCGAAAAATGTTGTGTGAACACAAAGTTCAAACCAGATAATGGAAAGAATACAGCCAATAAGTGAGGCGATCATAAATATTTCAACTGAACGCTGAAAGCGACGTGTATCAGAAAGAGCACCTACACAGAAGCTACCAATAATGCCGGCTACAGTTGAGCCAAAGCCAAACCATTCTAAGAGAAGTAGAAAAGTCATTTTACTGCTACATCCTCATTTTTCGACCTGCTTGTTGTTCTGTATATTTCTCGGGGGCAAGAATGATATCGTAAAGGTCTGTCCACACATTAAATGTACCTGTCAATAAACCACCTACGGCAGAAAGAATCATGAATGACGATGATCTCATACATCGCCAAAGATCCTTCATAAAACTACGCAGAGAATTACCATTACTGTCACTAAATGAATAGGAAATGAGCCGCTCAGCAGCTGGTGACGGAGGTTTTGGTGGATGCGATGGAAAATAGACAAGAGTTAGGATACAGCTAAGAATGGCAAGACCTAAGTGAACGTAAAGAAGACGAGGAACATGCTCAGGTGTATCGATTATGAATGGACTAATGACAAAGCCAGCAGCTATACCAAAGTTGTTGATTGCAAGAGCAAATGTAGTTGAGCGTGTTCTTTCATTTGAATCGAATCAAATGCAAGACAGTTGCGACACGGGCACTTGTACCAATGGAGCACAAGCTGCAAGAAGTACCTGACCAGCATGCAAAAATGGTACTGGAATCAGACTAAAATGGTGATCTGACGATGAACTAATGATTGATGGAATGATGCGTAGAAAAGTGGCTGCAACACATGTGACAGCGAACAGAATCATAGATAGTCGAAGTCGATGTGGTTTGTTTAATAGAAGATAGGCCATAGGAAAGGTTGGTATACAAATAATATTTCCCCAATTGAGTAACAAATCGATCGTCGATTCGGTAGTATTATAATAGAGTTTTATATTTCTAGCAATTGGAGAAAATGTAAGCCAGAACAGAGATTGATTGAAAGTAAGCAAACCGAAGACTGAGATAACATAGAATCGACGTCGATACAATCGATAGGTCGAAGATGAATTCGGCAATAAGTAAAGCGTCGAATCCAACTCAGACATCGTTCAAATATAATGAAACTTTGAGAAAAAACGTAAAATTTACTTGTTTTTATGTCTGTACAAATAAAACAAAACGATTAATATCAAGGTAAGAGATAAGGAATTCATGCTATTTGTGTAAAGTTAATCAGAGTCTCGATTCAACTCGTATGACACACAATGTAGCAATGCACAAAAAAGGCAAAAAATAACTATTTTGGATGTAGCTGTGGACGTTGATATCTTTGAAATAACACACCACACTGACAATCTGATGTGAAAAACCTGTTGTTTTGGTCTGTAATGGAGAGAATGAATCGAAAGGACCTACTTTCAAAAGTTACACCTAGTAATTTTCTTCAAAAACGTGTATAAGTTCAACAAAAAGTCATACAAACAT